CAATTAACTCTGATTTGGCCTTGGATCTTTGCACTACAACACTTCTCCTTGCTTCTTCCTTCTTCTCCTTCTTCACACCTTCACAAAATGGCACCAAAACACATATAAGCTCTTCAAGGGAGGTTTAAGGCTCTATCACTGCGTTCTCAGGGTGAGGGAGGCGAGAATGGGGGCTATAAGGTGGTATAAATAGTGGGCAACCCGGGGATTTTAGGGTTTCACCCAGACAGATGGACTCGCCGAGTCAGGGATATGGACTCGTCGAGTCCCCGGCTCACGCGTGCCCTCAGGCGCGACCCTACTCGGCGAGTCAGGCTAGAACTCGCCGAGTCCCTCTTGAAAAACTCACTATAATTACCATTAAATCAACATACCGGGAACGGGTCGTTACACGTACTATGTAGTACGCTATGCGTATAACCCATTTGCTTAGTACGCTAAGCGTACAGAAGAGGTACGCTGAGCGTATGCTCTTAGGAGGACTTGGGCCTTAGTGGACTTCAGACCTTTGGGCCCTAATGGTTTTGAACCTGGATTTGCGATTTGATGGGTTTGAATGTATCTTGGGCCAATATTGGAATAGTTGGGCCTAATGGGCCTTATAGCCCAATATAGAAATGGATTTCATATTTGTGGGCCTTGGTTTGGGCCAATCCTTGGATTAGATTGTTGTGGGCCTTCATGGGCCAAATGGGGACATGATTATTAACAAAATAGAATATTGGGCTTTAGTATAAGGTCCATTAGAAAAGTTTAGGCCCAATTTGGAAAATTGGGCCATTGATGGTTTTATGGACATTATAATGGATTGATGGTTTTATGGACATTCCACCTCATGTGCCTTCATATGCTCGTGACATTCACTGATCTCGTTTTGAAATTGACGGACCTTTTTTTGCAAGTTAGTAATAATTCGGTCCCTATCAATTGATGGTTTAGAGACCGACTGTGGTGGTAGTGGTGGTGGCAGGTGAGATGGAATATCCATCCATGCCTTTTTTATCGAGGCTCATGGATAGGGTAGAACTCGGTGATGGTGTTGGGGAAGTTGACATGTACACTTATGTGTTTGGAAAATAAGGGCAATCAATCCATGCTGAGCTAACTATCCACCATTCAACCCGACTCTCAGCTTCTGTCAGCTCCAACTTCTGTACAAGTCTATTATCCTGCTAACAAATTTATAAAACTATAAATAAACATAAATTATATATATATATAAAAGAAAATCTTAAAATATAAAAGTAATCATATGTCGTCGATTATTATAAATTGGTTGCAGTGAATCTTTTGCAAAGGCCTCAATTTTGACTGTGCAACAACCCGGATGGACCACATTCTCTTGTCGTGTACCAAACAAAACTGATCATAGGAAAAGTTTTAAGAATCCATATATGAAAAAATCATTTATTAGAATGTTAGCAAACAAAAAATAATAAATTATTAATCATGTAATTACCTTGGAAGTGTATAAAAAGTCATTTAGTGTGTAGGTCATTTTTTGAGGTTGTTTCTCTTCGGTTCCACTGGATGTATATGTCTGTTAACCTTATTGAAAACAATAATTAACTATGAGTACAATTGATCCCAAATTACCATCCCTCACGGATATCTGCGACATAAAAAATTCTCAATTAAATTTCAAAAGAAATATTACTAAAGCTAATTAATAAGACTTAATTATAATCCATTCAACCTCTTCTCCGACATATATAAGAGACATAAACGGATCGGATCCTCCTCCGATAAGTCATTAAGCGAATGCTCAAACACATTCCTCACATTCTCTAGTTTAACAGTGAAATTTCTCAGGATCCTAGGAAACACACAGGAACGAAAGGCGGCGTCGGAACCAAATGCAGGAAAATAATATTCAAAACGAAAGCCGGTAACAAGACAAAATTCTTTCTTCCCGAAAGACAGCTCGTAACCCCAATCTCAAAAACCATTTATTCTGCTTCGCTTTGGGGGCCCGAGATAACTTTGTTGAAAAATACATAATGTAGAAGCAATGGATCCCCCACTACATTAGGAATATCTAACCGCACACCAAAACAAGAATTCTGGAACACACTAATGCATGTCGGTCTGTCTTTCAATGCTGAAAGAATTCCCCCGTCGATTTTGGGTTTACAAGATAGTGTAATGGATGCATCAAAAACCTTACCATGCTACACAAATAAAAAAGTTGTTATAATGAAAACTGAGCAATATTTCGGACCAGTTAAAACCATTTTCGAACCAGTTCTGGACCAATTCCTCGTGTTCCGGACTAGTTCGTTGTGTTCTAAAGCAGTTCTTCGCGTTCTGAATGTACTAGTGGGTTCGAGAATGAAAATATATGTTCTAGAACAATTAAATTTCGTTGTAAACTAACAATACTTAAACATGTAAATTAATTTTATGTTGATCCTACTATAATGACATCTTTAATTAAAAACTCCGAAACATTTTTTAATTCATTCCGAAGGTATTCTACAAATTCTAGAACAATAGTTCTTGATGACTAATCACGTTATACAAATAAGCAAATTAGGTTTTTAGATTGAAGAACATACCCATAAAATAATTGAGTCGTAGTGGTCGTCTTCCATATCGGAGTTGCGTGTTGGAGATCAGAATCGGAATCGCGTGTCGGAATGCCGGTGCAAGATCCGAAATGAAGTCGACGGTACGAATATTTTCAAAACATATTTCGGATTTTGAAATTCAAATTTTCAATCCAGAATACGTACGAAAACTCCTAAATAAGTATTCTGTAATCAACGATATGGACTGATCCATCAAAAAATTAGTTCGAAATATGATCCGGAACAACCTATTCTGGAGAATGTGGTTATTTTAAAAAGTAGAAAATTATATTTTTTTTAAACACAAAAAATATTAGATTATTGAATTTCCCAATAAATAACATATATAATTACAAGCTTGAATGCAAGATTATTGATAAATCTTATTCTTATTAATAATTAATTTAAAACTTTGGGTAAAATGGGTTTTGGCCTTTGGGCCTGGAAAGAGAAACTTTCTTTCTGGAAATATAGGGAAAGCGATTGCACACACGTGTTCGTCACGTGGGACGCCATCATCACCAGACAGCTACTTGCAGTGATTACGGGGGCATTTAGTAGGTTCTTTTCCTTTTCGAAAATACGAAAATAATTAATTACACATCAAATCAAATATTCAATTAGGTTTAATTTCAACTTTAACTGTAAGCAACTAATTTTTGTAAGTGTATCGTTTTTTAATTATATATTATCAATAAATTTATATAAATGTTTAACAAAGAAAGCAGTTTTCTAAAAAACTAAGATTTTGAAAACATGAAAAAAAGAAAAAAGTTGTGGTATAAAAAATTATGGAAATTTGTAAAGATTTGGATCAATTTTCGTCGTAACAATTTTAAACATTGGCCAAAATTGTAAAACAAGAAAAAAAAAAAGTTAGATCTGAGGGAGCGAAACCGCTGATCTCCCTCATGGGAAACCAAAAGGCAGACTATACATCCATATTCAATAACGACACAAATTAATTATAAACAGTACAAAAACTTATCCTAATCTAATAAATAAGTAGATTTTTGCCACGTGATATTTTCTAAGCCCTTCCCAATTGATTTTTCCCGCTCAAAATACCAAAGTGAATTCACATTGATGCCCTATCACTTTCCCTTCCTCTTAAGCCATCGCATACAATCAACACATTTTTATCAAGTTTCAAAATTGAAATTGAAGGCTATAAATCAGGAACTAACTCAGCGATTTTCTGTCAACTGATAAGAATAAATGAGGAACAAAATCATTTCTAAAACTAAATCTTCAATCGCATCTTTTATTTGATTACAAAGTTAGGCCGTCAAAATGGAACACTTCTTTTATGCAATTGAAGCACCATGGAAGGTACAGAAGGCACACAACAATCTCAACACGTGTTTGCCAAAGCTAATCCTTCTTACTCTTTTTTATAATTATCTTCAACATTTGGAATGAAACTCCTATATCAACATGTTAAATCTTTGAATTCCAACCCAAATCAAATTTGGAATACCATGAAGTAAAAGATGCGATTTCAAACCGGCTTTTTCAGCGAGTCCACCCCTGAAATTTCCGTTCGATTCATGCAAACCCTCAAATCTTTGACATCACTTTTCCTATTACTTCGTTTGGCATCATGCGGTTAGTTTTCATATCAGTTATCTTTGCTGTCTAAAAATGTGTAAGATTTTTTTAAGTAACCAGAGAGTTGTTTTTAATCCTTTTTGTATTATGTCATGTTTGTACATTGGAGAGAGTAGTAACTAGGTCTTTTTTATAATGATATTGTAAACTAGGGTATAACTTATTGAATATCAATGACAGTTTTTTGTATGATTAAAGGGTTAAAGATGTGAAGGATATTTTCAAGATTCAATCATTTACTTAAGCCTTTGGACAAAAATACCATGAACATGGGAATTAGGTATGATTATGATATTTTGATTTTCCCAATCTCATTTATAATACTTTTGATTGATTTATATATTACATGTTTTATATTTTGTTGTCATTGAAATCTTTGTATGTTATGATTTATTGTCATGTCTAGAAGGTAGTAGATGATATGCCTTTTTTAGTTTGCTTTATGGTTCTTTTAGGTTTCTTTTTTCTTAATGTTCCAAATTGTATACATTTAGGACTCTTACACGCTTGATTTTTAATAGTTTGAATTCGATATGTTTTCATTTAAGGTTCGCCATCTTGATACATCTGAAAAGAGTGAACTTCACAAGCTTCAACAATTAAAAGATGAACAAGGTTAGACTTGTGCTTCTTGGTGTAAAACCAATCAGATTACAGGTTTTAAAAAAATAGTAATATGTGTGACAAGGGCAAATACATCTTTTTACAAAACAAAAAAATGTTGTCTTATTCCATCTGAAACTTTTTAGGTGCAATATCCTATGCATCCATGTCTTTTAGAATTCCCTTCGAATAATTTTTACGAAGGTACCCTCCAAAATGGAGTTACCACAAACGAAAGGCAATCAACAGGCATTGATTTTCCATGGCCTGTCCCAAATCGCCACATGTTTTTTATGTCCAGGTATGTGTGACAAGGGCAAAATGGTCTTAAAAGTTAAATCTTAACGTTCTTTTATGTATTGATTTCACTAATTTATTTTATATTGTAATATGGGACAAGAAGAAATAAGTGTTATCGGGACATCCTATCTTAACAGAACAGTTGCTGCAAATGTTGAAAAAATAGAGACTACTTTTTTAAAAAGTGTAGTTCAAAGTCAGGTATATATATTTTTATAAAAATAACTGGCACTGATAGGATATAATTAATTTATTATTATACTTAAATATTATGCAGATAGGGGTTATGACATCATACGAAGGCCAACGCGCATATATTGTTAATTATATGCAATAAATGGTGCACTTACTTTACAAGGACATTGAGCTAATTTCACATTTTTTCATAAATTCATATAATTTATCAGCTACATCATGTATACCCAGGTTGCAAGTGTGGATTCATTCCAAGGGAGGGAAAAAGATTACATTATTTTGTCATGCGTCAGAAGTAACGAACATCAAGTTGGTTAATATTTTTTCCCAATAATTACAAATATTTAACTCTCAATAGCAACATACTTATATTTTCTTTATACAAAATGACAACACATACAGTTTTTACCCATTGCTATGATCTGTATTTAGTTTAGGGTTTATAATGGGGTGATGAGATTTTAATTATGGTTTGCTTGTGTGTTTTAGGGTATTGGGTTTCTGAATGATCCACATAGGCTTAATGTTGCACATACTCGTGCTCGATATGGTATTGTGATTCTTGGAAATCCAAAAGTTCTTAGTAAACAACCATTATGGAATGGCTTACTCACGCACTATAAGGTCATACCCTATAACATCTATGAAAAGACAATAATACCATTCCCCCAATAAATATCATTTTGTTTAAGTTGAGACCAGGAGCATGAGTGCTTGGTGGAAGGACCTCTCAACAACTTGAAGCAAAGTATGGTTATATTTCAAAATCCAAAAAAAGTAATGATAGTTTATCAATAATAAATTCATAATTCATCATCCTTTTTAATCTTTCAAGTTCATTATTTATTACCTTTGTGAAATATATCATCTTACAATTACTTTTATTCAAAATTCAATGATGCTATATTAGACAATTAGACATGCACTACAAAGTACATTGTTATTTACTTTAAAATTATGAATATGGACACTTTCTCTTAATTCTTACAAAACAGGCACCATTTCAATAAAACTTTAAAAACATGGGTTTTTTTTTGGAAAGTTAGTATCACAAGGACCATTCATGCATTTACAATTATTTCATATTAAAACAGGGACCATTTATGTTTTTTTTTTCCAGTTTATTAACTTTGTCAAATATAGCATCTTACAATTATTTTTATTCTCAATGAATAAAAATAATGATAATTTCTATTAACTTTGAAAAAACAGGGACCTTTTATGTAAATTTTTAAAAATATGGAGATTTTTTGTAAAGTTACTAACAGAGAGACCTTTTATGTAAAGTTAGTAACACATGGACCTTTCAAACAAGAACTATTCTTGCAAATTACTAATTTTTTGAAAACTTCCCATAATACCCTTTTTTATAACTAACAATGACTTAATATCGCAATATAACCGTAATATAACAATACACTTTTCTTTTACCAGTTTATACAATATATTTATTAAGACTTTTTATCCTTTCTATCCTAAAATAGCAATATACTTTCTAAGTATATTGCTATAAATGTCAATAATGTAAACTGATTTCTGCAGAATGTTATAAATTCATTGATTTGTGCATTGTAGCTTTTTTTAAACTGTATTTTACTTTTTAGAAACTTATTTATTTGATATTAACTTGCTTTGTATGTTTCCAGTAAACAACCGTTTCATAACAAGCAACAAATACCATTATACCTTCAATTATTTTTCTATTACATCAACCTACTTTCAATTTTTTTAAAAGCTAAAAAAGAAATGCAACACAAATGTAATCATTTTGTGTATATGTGTTGTTGTATGTGTGTGGTTTGTATATTTTTTTATGTATATATGTGTTGTATATTTACTTTTTTATTGATATTTTTTCAATTAAATTGTGTTTTTGTCAATACATATGGTATAAGGCTTATTTAACTTTTACGGTGTATATCTTTTAAATTTAATTTAAAATATAACATTAGTAATTCCATTATGTTTATTAACCATTCATTATGTATTAGTTTTGCTATTTTAATTTTGTCAATCCGTGTATCACACGGGTTTTAACCTAGTTAGAAAAGTATAATAGTTACCGTAATGCAGATTATTACTTGTGATAAGGGGAATATATTTTAACTTTTTAGAGTTTTATAAGATTAAAGATCAAAGAAATTATACAAAGTAACATAAATGGTGCCGATGGTTTATAATCCGTGACAACTATAGTTATAAAACTAATTAAATTTTTATATTAAAAGATCAAAATTATTAATCAATTATTTTAAATAGATTAATATTTAAGAAATATTTTTTTAGTTATATAAAATTATAATCGTTGATTTAAATAAATACGTGAAGTTATATCATCTTATAATTTGTATTAATTTTATTTTATTTATTAATCTAATATTATTAATTTAATATAATTACTGTGAGAAAATTTGAAATTTTAAAATTTAAAATGAATAATCAATTATTAATTAATGTAATTAGAGTGGAAAATTTGAAATTTGAAATCGATAATTAATATTAGGGGTGAACGCGGTGCGGTTCGGTGCGGTTATTAGCCAAAACCTCACCACTAACCACAAATGCGGTTAATCCATTTTCAAAACAGTTGGTGTGGTTATTTTTGCGGTGCAATTTTAATTTTTTGCGTTGCGGTTATTAACCACATGGATTTGGTGCGTTTATTTTGTGTGGTTTTTAACCACAATTTAGAGCTCAAACGGTTTTAAGAGTTCAAACATATTACTTTTAATGATAAAAAAAAAACAAACCATAATGTATCAAACAATTAACTTAAATCACAAACAACTAATATCTTAAAAATGTCAAATCAATACTAATTAACAATAAATATCTTAAAGCTGTTTTATTTCATTATTTTTCAAAATTAAACATAACAAAAAAACCAACACTTTTGTCTTCTAGTATTTTATATATCTTTCATCCATGAAGCTTGACTTACTTTTAATATTAATATAGTAAGAATTAATAAAAAAAATTGTATGTAATATATGCGGTGCGGTGCAGTTTTTTTGCAGTTTTTGAAAAATGATAACCGCACCGCATCGTAAATTTGCGGTTTTTGAAAAACAGAAAACCTCACCATCGGTTTTTATTGCGGTTGCGGTTTATGCGGTTAATTTTAGTTGTAATGCGGTTTTTGCTCACCCCTAATTAATATGTTGATAAATGGCATATGTGTCATATAATATTAATGAGGAGTTCTAATAGTATGACATTTGTCAAAAGAAAAATAAACATATTTTTTTATTAGAATATATATACACACCCATATATATATATATATATATATATATATATATATATATATATATATATATATATATATATATCATTAAAAAATCGTAAATACAATATTTAATTAAATATTTTTTATTTATAAAATAAGATTTTTTTTTCATGAATGCGTATAATATGAAACAAAAAATACTGTAAACACTTAAAAAAAGTATAAACTTAAGGTTTTTTTTAGTTAATAATATAACGATAATTTGACAAACCTATTATCATTGATAAAAGGATAAAATGAATATTTTTTGAAAAATATAAGGATAAAAATGGACATAAAATTTCAACTTCGAGGAAAACCAACAAAAACCTGATGATTTTTATGATATTAATCTATAGATGAAACATGTATTAATTAAATTAAAATGTTTTTGAGGTTGTTGTTTTCTTGATTACGAGTGTTGCATTTGCAGCTACAACAAAGTGTTTGAGATTTTGTGTTCTCGTTTTATGTAAATTTACAATTTCAGAGCTACAAATTATAATTACCATTACTGTTTTAAACATTTTTATATAGCTGGTTTTTACAATAACAATTTGATACGACAACAAATTTTGTCTAACATACTCGTTAACTTGTAGTTATTTTTTCGAGAGAAAATCACAAAAAAAGGAGATTAAAATGGAGGGAGTTTTCTATAACAAATAGCCATTTTTCGTTTTATTTTATACATAAGATGGGTACATATTCCGTATTTACATCACTGTAAAATTACATTGCGAAAATATTTTTTAAATGTCTATCATAAAAAAAAAACTCTTAAAAAACTAATAAAAATAAAGACGTCATATATCACGAAGTTGTTATGATATTTCATTAAATTTCTGGAAGTTTTTTATGGTCAAACTTTAAAAAAGCAATTTCGTAGCAAATACTGGTTTCACATCAGTCCAGTTTATTAAAATATTTTGAGTGGTGCAAACAAAATAAATTAAAAATGTGATCATTTTTGTTTTTCTTCTTTCTAGTTTGTTTAGACCATTGTTCTTTTTTTTCATTTTACCTTATTAATTTATACATCATGGATACAATTTTGAACATGTAAAATACTAAAATAAGCAAAAGTTTTATATATCACGGATCCTTTTCAAAGGGTCGTCGGCCGTCGGAGGACTTTAGAAGCCTGAGCCGCTCCTTATAATGTAAGTTCCACGCGCCGCAACCACTCGTGCTGCCCACCACTTCATTACAAACAAAAAGAATGAATTCCAACTTGGTCCATCCATGTTGTGACAACCAACCCCTTTTAAATACAATCATCATCTTAGTGCTCCAAATCACGATAATCAATCAACATTCAAGATCGAAACAGTGAAAGGTGTTTTTGGTATTTCAATAAAGACATTGTTTTCCACCACCTTTCACTACAAAGAAATTGGATAAAGAAAGGAGGACAAAATATAAAACTACAAACATTGTAATAGTTTTAAAAAGAAAACCCCCACCATCAAGTGGTAGCCATTTGCTATTAGAGATTTTTAAGTGAGCATAAACCAATAAAAGACCAGCATTCCTGACCATGAGAGTGGTTTATTGGTGACCAGTTAGTATGATATATTCAATTCTGAGGTGTCATGTTAGTCGTTCAAAAAAATATAAATAGAAATTGGTAAAAAAATTGAATAAGTTATCGGTGATTCAATGTAGATAACAACTGAGTTGCGTGCATAAACAAAAATGAAAACGTCAGCAATACGATATATGAGGTTGTATATTAAAAGAAAACCGTCAATCAACATGTAATGATGTGTTATAAAAGCGATAGAGTATTTATGTTTTTATTATCAAACCAACCTTGTTAGGAAGTGAATAAATGAAAGGGAGCGATTTTAAGTTGCAAATTGATATACACAATTTATAATATTTTAAATATTATAAAAATGAGATAAAATATTTAATATATAACTACAACATCAAGATAAGAAAGACATGATTTACTTTGATTTAAACACTTTAAAATAAAACCATTACATGTCTTATATGGAGGGTCACATATTCATACACATACACTTCGATTACTCTTGTTTTTGTTTTGCTGCTAACCTAGTCCCAATTGAATACAAACATCGCACCTAGCGATGAGGTAACCTGTCTCCATGGTGGTGCGGTGAACACCACACTGTCTGGTGTGTGGTGGTGCAATGAATTTTCATATGGAAGAAAAAAGGAATGTGACTCTTTCACTTTGTTCATGTTTCACCTATTGGTGTATATTTTGAGAGGAGTGAAATGTGACCATTTCATATTAGTGAGGGATGAGTGGATGATGTTGAAAATACGTGATGATGAGGTGATCAACAAAAATAAAAGGTGACCATTTCATATACTCTTAGCCTTAGACCTATTCCATATGTTATTTTTGACTTATTTGAAGTTACTTGTTTTTTGAACATGTAAGAGGTTATCTATGACACTCATTTTTGTTGGAGACTTGACTGTATATCTCGAGTCTCATTCTAATGGGACTTCCGTAACATATTGCTAAAAACAAAATTGTCACGCGCCTTAA